TTTAAACCATCTAAACTAAGTTTAATATTATAAAAATCTAAGGAAGTAATTGTAGAAATAATTTCTATTGATGATTCCATGTTCTAAAGCATAGCTATCTACAATTGTAGTATAAGTTGTGTAATCAAATAATAGCTCTGGATTGCTTGGAAGAAATATAGTTAATGGTCTTAATGGTGCTTTCTCTTCAGAATTCAATATTAAACAATATATTCTTATAAGTCTTCTATCTTTAAAATAATAAGATGCTTTACTCCATAATATTGGGACAACAATCCTACACCATTGGCGGTTTACAAGAAGACATGAGAATAAGAATCTATAATTATATTTAAGGTCATTTAATATTTCAAAGAGACTTTCATTTGGTAATGCATTCATTTTATAATTTGAAGATTTTTTTGGCTTAATAAAATATGTACGCGTAATTAGTGATTTGAACCGGTTGGGATATAATCGGTTAACCGACCCGAATTGAATAAATTTCGGGTAACCGATTGAATAAATTCTTAATCGGTTGACTCGTACAACCGATTGAGTATCGGTAATCGGTTGACAGGATGTAAATGACATCAAGAAGGAGCAAAGGGTTCGAGAACTTCCGAAAAAAAAAGAATGAACATAAAAATTTAGTAAACTTCCAAAGGTAAAGTGTGAAGTAATCTTAATCGGTTGCAATCGGTTGACATTAAATATTTCGGTTCGGTTACCGGACTAAGGAATTTTTTCTCGGTTCAAATCACTACGCGTAATACGTTATGCTAAAACCAGAATTAATATTTTTTCAGAAGATTAATGATAAATTTATAGGAAGAGATATTTAAAAAAGTTTTTTCAAAGAAAAATTTCGCAGCAGATTATCATTATGGTGTGAGATTTGATATGTAATGAAATTAAGAAATTTTGATCATTTTAATTACTTCATATTTCTTAATTATTATCGTTATATTTTGTGTAAAATATTATTGATAACTAATACGTACAAGAAATAAGAGTTAAATAATTTATATTAATTTACTACGTACGTATTATAAAAAAAATAATAATAACAAAAAAAAAACAATAAATTATAACAATTATTCGAAGTACTAAAGACTACATAGCTTGACGTACGGGTGCCGGAGCTTTCCCCCTCATACCTTAGCTTGGTCTCGAACTTACGTTCTTAGTATGACATATTAATGCCATAACCGTTAGTCCATATACCCAAATAATTACTGATTTACAAAATTAGACTCCTTAAAATTGTAATTTGTGCTATGGAAATGACCAATAGGATTTAATTATTTCACCTGATTTTAAACCTTTCAAAACTTGTAATTTTTTTTACTAATGATCGACAATTAGTAATAAAGCATTTTACTTATGAATAAAGCCAAAATTTCACACTTCGTCTGCTTATTGTATATTGTTCTTAAAGGCAAATTTTTATAGTATCTTAGTTAAAAAGGCAGCAATAAGTATGTCTTACCTATGTTTTTAATATTAGCACGGTGGCAAAACGATCCTCGTCTAAAGTTAACATATTGAGTTATTATCGTTATATGTAGTGATCCTGGCCGATAGTGAAAAAATCGGCTTAGCCGGTCGATTTTTTTAAAAATCGGCTAATTGATTTTATGCGGCAATTTACGGTAATAAGATTATGACATTCCTAAAAGTTCAGATGTAGAAAATGAACGAACCTAATCTTCCAAAGGATTCCGAAGTTTTACAGCTATTTTCATAATTTCTGGAACACCTCGTTATCCGAAATCCTTTTGATCATCCGGTGACCTATGAGAGAGGCGCTATAGCAAAGGCAATGACCTTTTCCATTGATCATTCTGACGCTGCTGATGAGGTAAAATCTGTTACAAATATTTTATATATTCCTAACAACTACTATTAATCAAATATATTACTTAAAATATAGATAGTGGATATAATCTGTAAAACACTTGCTATTAAGGAAACACCTATTCTAACCAAAGTTGCCCGACTATATTTGGTATCAAATATTCTACATAATAGTAGTATTTCAGTGCCGAATGCCTGGAAATTTAGAACAGTGTACGTATATATATTGTATTTGAATATATTGTTTATCTTTTAGTACATCAAAATGTTAATTACAACTAAATATTTATTTATATCTTACATTAATTTTGAAAGTAGGAAAATATTTGAACATTTGAACTAGGTATATAGATCTATTGCGGCTAGATTGAAGCAGAGACTTTTAGGGGTAAGCGGCAAAATAGAATGGATATTTTGTTACAAAGCTTTATGATTTAATATGATCATACTGTCTTTGTTAACAAAAAAACAATGCTAAGAGAAAATATGGCGTTTTATATCATTTCAACCAAGTTTGCTTTGAATGTGGTTTTTTCTACCTCTATTTTCGTGAAACTTTGGTTTTTTATTTTTATTATTATTTTTTTTTTTAAAAAAAAATTCTCCTCAAAATCGCATAAACTCTTAACAGCGTCAAATCACAACAATTCTTGTCGTATGGGAAAATTGGATTTTTTTTCCACAACCATATATTGAATCTTTAACAAACGAAGGCGATAAAATTCAAAATTCTACAATATCACAGCCATCCACCTCATAATCATCATCTATAAATGATAACATGAAAATCATAGAAATACAAATAAGACCCTTAATGGTCAAGTTGATTTTCAATTTATTAATGAGTATATTTTTAAAGAATTAAATTTTAAATAATAAAAAAAATTAAAGAAATACATTTGTTACGCAACACTTATAAAGTATTTAAAAAAAATTAATTAAATATAAACTTTAATATAAACTTTAATTGGTATATTATAGTTGCATTATAGTTTTATTATGTTGCGAAATTAGTCACGTGATAAGGGGTGCACCAAAAAACTATTAGCCAATTATATACTAATTGCTAATTAAATATTTTTTATGAAGATCCGAATTTACTGCGGGTAATAGCAACTTTCGGTACAGTTTTCTTTTGAACTAACATAATAATTACAAGTTTAATTTGTTGTAAATGATATTTTAATTCGCTTAGAATAGTTTAACAATAGTATATTTTCGATTTATTCTGTTTACAAGTAGCCAATTCTTCGACAAAGTAAACAAACTTTACTCAAAATGTAACATCAATAAGTTCATTAAAAAAACCAAGGTTGTTACTAAAAAGAGAGAAACGAGAGTTACAAAACAAAAAAAAATTTGATACAAAAATTTTATATAGTTAACTTGAAAATTGTACCTTCGTCAGTCTCGTTAGTTATATTAATAATAAAGAAAATATTTGCAGAAGTTAATTTTCCGAAATTATTAAAAAACCTATAAAAATCCTCACATAATAATTTATTAGTTTGATAATCACCCTATTGTAACATGTAATTTTTTTACTAATGATCGACAATTAGTGATAAAGCCAAAATTTCACACTTCGTCTGTTTATTGTATATTGTTCTTAAAGGCAAATTTTTATAGTATCTTAGTTAAAAAGGCAGTGATAAGTATGTCTTACCTATGTTTTTAATATTAGTACGGTGGTAAAAAAAAACCTTGAAGTGATCTTCGTCTAAAGTTAACATATTGAGTTATTATCGTTATATGTTTTTTTTTTTGGCAGCTGTTATACTTTTTTTTATAATAGTAAATTAATATAAATTATTTAACTCTTATTTCTTGTACGTATTAGTTATCAATAATATTTCACACAAAACATAACGATAATAATTAAGAAATATGAAGTAATTAAAATGATCAAAATTTCTGTGACAACTAATCAAATTTCTTAATTTCATTACGTATCAAATCTCACACCATAATGATAATCTGCTGCGTAATTTTTCTTTGAAAAAACTTTTTTAAATATCTCTTTTCCTATAAATTTATCATTTATCTTCTGAAAAAATATTAATTCCGGTTTTAGCATAACGTATTACTCGTATATATTTTATTAAACCAAAAAAAATCTTCAAATCATAAAAATGAATGCATTACCAAATGAAAGTCTCTTTGAAATATTAAATAACCTTAAATATAATTATAGATTCTTATTTTCATGTCTTCTTGTAAACCGCCAATGGTGTAGGATTGTTGTCCCAATATTATGGAGTAAAGCATCCTATTATTCTAAAGATAGAAGACTTATAAGAATATATCTTTTATCTTTGAATTCCGAAGAGAAAGCTCCATTAAGACCATTAATAGTTCCAAGCAATTCGGAACTATTATTTGACTACACCACCTATACTACAATTGTAGATTGCTATGCTTTAGAACATGGCATCGTAAATTGGCTTTACTGTAGAGATGAAGGAGCTCGTAATAGTAACGAATTTGATAGAAAATATAATAAATTTAAGGTTGAAATTGAGGCTATTAAGAGCTCCTTAATTACAATGTTTTTACGAACAAGCAAAAACCTTAAATACTTAAAAGTTTATAGAACAGATAATGAACAATTAACAGAATCATCAATAGAAATTATTTCTACAATTACTTCCTTAGATTTTTATAATATTAAACTTAGTTTAGATGGTTTAAA